TCTGATTATTACTCACCAAGTGGAGAATTCCGTGTGGATAAAGAAGGTTCAAAAAAATTGAAAAACTCGTTGATGTATAAAATGTGTTACTATAGATTTRGTCAAGTTTTTTCCRAAGGTGGTAATTAAATGAGTAGTAAAATTATATATTTCATAAGGAAGTTGGTGTTTTGTATTTACACCATTAAGTGGAGAAAATAAATCTTGTATCAAGTTAAATTTTAAATTATGATAATTAATTAGTGTCTTTCTAAGAATATATTGTACTAAATTGACTAGAGTATTAAAAGAATAACTATGTCAAATGTTATTAAGATCAAAATAATTGAGTTTCTGCTTATTTTAAGGATACGTCAAATTCAAATTTAGATATTCGAAACTTATTATATTTATCTTCCATTACTACTAATTTTTTTTGTTTGTGTACAATCCTTTGTAARACAATTCATTATAAATATGTAATTTTCTCTAATATCTAAATTATATATCCATTATAATTTACATAATTTATTATTATTATTATAGGTAAACCAGCTGGTTACGATCGTGTTTGTAATGCAGAGATTGGGGTAAAAAATGTCACATTGCACGTAGTTGACGAAGTATATACAACTGAACATTGGCTTGTTCGTATATACAGGGTAAAAGACTAGGATAATAGAAGAGGAAAAATGAAGRCAAATAAAGTATCAATTCACTTTGAACAATGATTCAATTTATACGAACAAAACATTTTAATTTGAAAACCTTGTGTTCTTTTTATAATTTTTATATAATTTATTATGTTGGTTATACAATATTTTGTTTATTCATTTTTTTTTTTAAAAAAAAGTAAATTTCAAATGTTCAACTTTTGTTCTTGAAATTTACTAAATACATCAAAATATTCATAGGAATGTGCAATTTTTTTTTTTCCAAAATAATAGACTGTTTTTTTCTAWTTYGATTAAACTATTATTATTTATTCCTTATTATACCATTTATACCTATAATATAATAAAGCATGTATACATTTCATTTAATATTAAACATTAATTAATTGTATTGGTAAACTTTCTACTATTTAATCAGTTGAATGTTTCAAGTTTCATTCAGATACATTTTAAATGGCTTGTGAAAAGTATAAATGTGAAGTGTATGATCTTTAAAATAARTAGATGTCTGACAAAAATGTAGTTAAAGCTTGAAAACTATGAGTTCTGGAGTTGCTGAATTGGAAGAAACTGGAATCAAATCTCTAGTTCAATAAAATAAAAGAAGAAGCAATCCAGAGAATAAATCTAGCAAGATTCCAATGTAACGCTTTTTGGTCGTAGCGGCTGAGGCCCTATAAATTCGAATTATGCTAAACTTGCCTAAAGAAGTTCCAGTGCTTAAAAAAAAGATGGGAGAATACTTCAAATAACTACTAAATGGATCACAAAGCACCTATAGAGAAACAGTTTTAATAAAAACAAGATGAGAAGAATTAATACCACAACAAATATTGCAAAATGATAGGCTAGGCATGGGAAATGGAAAAAAAATGAAAATTTTCAAGTCACACACAGTTATAATAAATTCCGAGTAGTACCAAAAGCACTAAGTGTAGCTTATAAATTATAAAATTCTTCCGATCATCATCTAATTAAGAATAGTAAAAACGGCTGAAAAATTAATTAGCTATTATCTATGTTGTTTCGAGAAGGCTAACGACCGATCAGATATTCATCAGAAAACAAGTTACTTCTAAACATTTTAGAACATAAATAACTATATCAAAGAAATCTCATACCTGAATTAATGGAAATAAGCGGTTTCTTCTAATGAAGTAGATAGGTAATTAATATCTTTCGANATGAAAATTTTCAAGTCACACACAGTTATAATAAATTCCGAGTAGTACCAAAAGCACTAAGTGTAGCTTATAAATTATAAAATTCTTCCGATCATCATCTAATTAAGAATAGTAAAAACAGCTGAAAAATTAATTAGCTATTATCTATGTTGTTTCGAGATGGCTAACGACCGATCTGATATTCATCAGAAAACAAGTTTCTTCTAAACATTTTAGAACGTAAATAACTATATCAAAGAAATCTCATACCTGAATTAATGGAAATAAGCGRTTTCTTCTAATGAAGTAGATAGGTAATTAATATCTTTCGATTTTTTTCTGTTTTTATAATAGTAATTATAAGTATTTGGTTCATAAAATAATTTGTACAATAAATAATTGATAAATAATAATAATAGGTAATAGTACTTGATAACCCTCCCATAAGTTTTGTCCGTGTTAACTTTTGAAGTTCRTCATTAAGCAGTGTTTTTTATGTTATGATGCGTAGCGTATCCCGTTTATTTCACTATTACCTACCACACACATATTATGTAGATTGTACCATTATACATATGCATTAAACTTATTGAATCTTTTGAAACCATCGCATAGTTATTAATTAATTATTTAATTTACACTCAACATAGATTCTATAAATAGTGATTGTAGGCTCAATGTAACGTTTTGAACACAGAATTTATGTGTAATTTTTTACAAGAGAATGCTCTTTTCGTTGATTACAATCAGATTTATTATATATTTTCATATTACAGAAATGAGGAATATTACACTTGCTGCGAAGAACCATACTTAGACATTACATTCAATATTACGATGCGGAGGAAAACGCTATTTTATACGGTGAATTTGATCACGATACTTGTGTTTTACCTACATAAAAAAAAAGAAGAAGAAAAAA